CCATGTTGTCTCAAAGGATAAGAGGTCTTTCTTTCTTACAGCTGCATAGTATTCCGTTGTATATATGTACCACAAATTTTTTATCCATCATCTGTTGATGACACTTGGGCTGTTTCCAGCAATTAGCGATTGTAAATAGTGCTGCTATGAACATGGGGGTACATGTATTCTTTCTGATTGGTGTTTCAGGTTTCTTAAGGTATATTCCTAGATGTGGGATCACTGGGTCAGATGGCAATTCAACTTTTTAATTTTCGAGGAAACACCATACTGTTTTCCATAGTGGCTGCACCAGTCTGCATTCCCACCAGCAGTGTACTAGAGTCCCCTTTTCTCCACACCCTTGCCAGCACTTATTTGATGATTTGTTAATGGCAGCCATTCTGACGGGTGTGAGGTGATACCTCATTGTTGTTTTAATTTGCATGTCTCTGATTATTAGTGATGTTGAGCATTTCTTCAAATGTCTATTGGCCATTTGCATGTCCTTTTGGGACAGGTGTCTATTTAGGTCCTCTGCCCATTTTTTAATTGGGTTCTTTGTCTTCCTTTTGTTGAGTTGCATGAACACTCTATATATTTTGGAAATTAAAACCATATCTGATGTATCATTGGCAATGATGCTCTCCCATACAGTGGGTTGCCTTTCCATTTTGATGGTTGTCCTTCATTTTTTTTACAGCTCCTGTGAACTCCTTTACAGCTGCTAGCCCGGATGCTGCCTAATTCATAAGTTGCTGTGAAAAGCCGATAAAATCTTTAAAGTTTACTCAGTTGAATTGAATTTTTTTTTTTTAATCTTTATTGTTGCATGTAGAATGTATTACAGATGTTCCACATTTTTTCCCCCACTGACTCCCTCCTCCCCACTCCCGCCTCCCTCCCGCCTTTTCCCACACTATTGTCTGTGTCCATTGGTTATGCATATAAGTTCTTTGGTTCATTTCTTCCCACCCCTCCAGCCCCCTTCCCTTTGAGGTTTGTCAGTTTAGCAACCAATTTGTACTCCTTAGTCCCTTCACCTTTTTCACCCATTCCCTCAAACCCCCTCCCATCTGGCAACCAACAAAATGTTCTCTGTATCTATGAGAATGTTTCTATTCTATCTGTTCATTTTGTTTGTAGATTCCATTGTCGATAGATATGTATTCATTGCCATTTTGTTTGTTCATATATTTTATCTTTTTCTTCAAAAAGACCTTTCATCATTTCATATAATAACGGTTTGGTGGTGATGAACTCCTTTAACTTTTTCTTGTCTGGGAAACTCTTTATATGGCCATCGATTCTAAATGACAGCTTTGCAGGATAGAGTAATCTTGGTTGTAGGTTCTTGCTTTCCATCACTCTGAATATTTCTTGCCACTCCCTTCTGGCCTGCAAAGTTTCTTTTGAGAAATCAGCTGACAGCCTTATGGGAACTCCCTTGTAGGTAACTAGCTGCCTTTCTCTTGCTGCTTTTAAGATTCTCTCTTTGTCTTGAACCTTTTGCATTTTGATGATGATGTGTCTTGGTGTGGGCCTCTTGGGGTTCATCTTGTTTGGGATTCTCTGTGCTTCCTGGACTTGTATGTCTGTTTCCTTCACCAAGTTAGGAAAGTTTTTTGCCATTATTGTTTCAAACAGGTTTTCGATTTCTTGTTCTCGCTCTTCTCCTTCTGGCACCCCCAAGATGCGAATGTTGGCACGCTTGAGATTGTCCCAGAGGCTCTTTACACTATCCTCATTTTTTTGGATTCTTTTTTCTTTTTGCTGTTCCGATTGGGCGTTTTTTGCTTCCTTATATTCCAAATCGATGTTTTGCTCCTTGGATTTACGTACTCTATTATTGAAGCTGTGTAAATTATTCTTTATTTCAGTTAAAGCCTCCTTCGTTTCTAACTGTGCATCGATCATTTCTGACTGGTCCTTTTTTATGCTCTTGAGGCCCTCTCTGAGTTCATTGAGCATCCTTATAAGCGGTATTTTGAACTCAGCATCTTTTAGGTTGCTTATCTCCATTTCGCTTAGTTCTTTTCTTGGGGTTTTGTTCTTTTCTTTCATTTGGGACCTGTTTCTTTGTCTCCTCATTTTGGCTGCCTCCCTGTGTTTGTTTCTGTGTATTACTTAACGAGCGGTATGGGGCTAGCTGAAACCAGATGCTGCTCATTTGAAAATATTTAGGAAAACCTGAAGCAGGATCCAAGTCAGGCCAATCCTATGGTTAAACAAGTGCCAACAGCTTGGGTGGGCCTGAAAGTTGGGGGGGGCGGGGAGGGCCCTCAGGGGGTCAGCAGGGCGGGGCTACCAGTGTGAGCCAGGTTGCTGGAGTCCCAGATATGGCGGCTGTCTGCCGCCCCAGGGAAGGGCTCACCAAAGGAACAAAGGCCTCTGACAGCACGTTTGTCCCGGAGAAAGCCCCCTCTCCAGCCCTCACTCCAGTGCCAAACAGCTCAGTTCTTCCCTGTATGTCTCTGGTGCCCCTCGAGCTGCCTCCCCTCCAAGCTCAGAGGGACAGAGTCTGATGAGTCCGTGTGCGGGCCCTTTAAGGAGCTGCCTGGGGCTCCAGCCGCCTCAGCTTCCCTGAGCCTCAGTTCCCGCTGGTTTTTCCAGCCAGAAGTTATGGGGATTCTCTTCCTGGCACTGCAACCCTGAGCGGGGCACCTGGTGTGGGACGGGGACCCCTCAGTCCTCAGGAAGGACCTTCCCAGCCGAGGTGTCCTCTTGATTTTTATCCGCCGCACTTGGGTGTGGGACCAGCCCGTCGCGCCGCCGCCCCTCCTACCAGTCTCAATGCAGCTTCTTTAATTCCGTAGTTGTAGGACTTCCATTCAGCTTGATTTCAGGTGGTTTTGAATGGTGGTTGTTCTGTAGTTTTGTTGTAACTTGGATGTGGTTGTCAGAGGACACGATACTGCGTTTACCTACGCCGCCATCTTGACCGGAAGTCCCCTGAATTTTGTTTTTTAACAAAGAATCAGAATTAACTGATTTCTTTTTTTTTTTTTTTTATCCTCACCCGAGGACATTTTTCCATTTTTTGTTCAGGTAGAGTGGGAGGGAGAGAGAGGAACAGAGAGAGAGAGAAAAACATCGATATGAAAGGAACACATCGAGTGGCTGCCACCCGCACAACCAACCAGGGCCGGGGACAAACTGCAACCGAGGTACATGCCCTTAGCGGGAACCGAACCCGGGTCGCTCAGGACCGCAGGCCGACGCTCTAACCGCTGAACCAAACCGGCCAGGGCAGAATTAACTGATTTCTTATTTTGCTTGAGATTCAACATAACTTGGCACTATTACCTAATCCTGCCTTTTATTTTTATTTAATATTTATTTATTTAAAAACATTTTTTTTATCCTCACCCGAGGACATTTTGCATTCATCTTCAGATAGAGTGGGAGGGAGAGAGGGGGGAAGAGAGAGAGAGAAACATCGATGTGAGAGAGACACATCAACTGGTTGCCACCCACAGTACCCCATCCAGGGCCAGGGACAAACTGCAACTGAGGTACATGCCCTTAGCAGAACTGAACCCGGGACTCTCTGATCCGCAGGCTGAAGCTCTAAACGCTGAGCCAAACTGGCTAAGGCTTTATTTATTTATTTTTAAATATTTTTTCTTTATTGATTTTTAGAGAGAGAGGAAGGGGGTAGGGAGAGAGAAACATTGATTGACTACCTCCTGCATGCCCCCCACTGGGATCAGGCCCACAACCTGGGCATGTGCCCTGACTGGGAATTGAACTGGCAACCTCTTGGTGCATGGGTCAATGCTCAACCACTGAGCCACACCAGCTGGGATAATCCTGCCTTTTAAACATTTGTACATTTTGTCCAGCATGACTTTTTCCAGCAAACTGATTTTTAAAAACATTGCAGTCAAGTTATCTTCATTACTGAGTTTTCAGACACTCCCTTAAATTTTGCCCCACTAAGTTATCTCACCCTAGGGACACTGTGTACTCCCCACATCCCTTTCCCTCTTAATTTTCTTTGTTATCATTGGTAACTTTTCTGATGGCTACACTTTGAAGTTCTATTTCCTTTTCCTTCACCTTTGACAGTGTATCACCTCTCTGTTCTGTAGGATGAAGACTTTACTATAACTTTTACTTTGCAGAGATTTAACTTTTTACTCTGTTCTGTTCAGTTGCCCTAAGTAGGACTTTATGTAAAGCCACTAAACTTTAATGTATTGGCTAGTCTTTAAATGCTTCTCTGGCCTGGCCAGTTTGGCTCAGCGGTTAGAGCGTCAGCCTGCGGACTGAGAGACCCGGGTTCAGTTCCCGCTAAGGGCATGTACCTCAGTTGCAGTTTGTCCCAAGCCCAGGTTGGGGTCATGTAGGTGGCAGCCAGGCCGCGTGTGTCTCTCACATCGATATTTCTCTCTCACTTCCTTCCTCTGTTCCTCCCACTCTATCTCAAGATAAATGCAAAAATGTTCTTGGGTGAGGATTAAAAAAAAAAAAAATGTTTCTCTGTTACTGCCATCAGCCCCACCGGCCGCCTTGAACTAGCTGGTGGAGGGAAGGAGAGTAATCAATTAGTTCCTCAATTATGAGGGGCAGGGATTGGCACGTGAACACACAGTTCCAAGTGCAGAATCCAACCTCACAAAGAAAGAAAAAGCACTATCCCCAGAGCAAGTATCCCAGGGCGTCTCAGACTTGTTCCCTGTAGCCCTCGATATCCAAATCCCCAGTCACAGTGACTCAGCGAATCTAACACTAAAGAGCAGCAGTCTTACACTGCTCACTGTCTCCTCAAGCCAAGCTTGCAGAGGCGGTGTTCCCAGGGCTCAGCGAGGGACAAAGGGCTCAACCCAGCGGGACTCCTGTCAGAAACTTCCTTCTTTTGTTTACAGGTGGTTGCAGGGCAGTGGTCAGATGGGCACGCCTCCCACTCCCACTCCCACCCTGACCCTCGAGGGCCCTCTCACTCCCACCCCCAGGGCACCCTTCTTCCTTGTCTCGGGGTCCCTACTCCACGCCCCAGATTCCTCTTCCTTCCTGGAACTTCAGCCCCGGCGAGCTCCGCCCAGAGTCCCAGGGCCAGGGTGGCCGGCTCCACCTTTGCATGGTCCTAGGCCCCGCCTTTGCAGGGTACCCAGCCCAGGCCAGATATAAAGCAGCCTCAGATCGGTGGATAGCACCGGCAAGCCTCCTAAAACCTCCCTTACGCTCCAGCCCAGCAGCCACCAGCACAATCAGCGCACCGCGGGAGCCATGGCTGGTGAGTGCCCCGCCAAGCCCACCGCCCGCCCCGTTCCTCTGCAGGAGACTGTGGGGCCTCAGCCCTAAGATTTCTCTCTTAACTCAAAATTGTTGAAGTGAATGCCTGGCCAGTGTGGCTTAATGGTCGCGTGTCCACCCATGCACCAGGAGATCGCCAGTTTGATTCCCGGTCAGGGCACGTGCCTGGGTTGTGGGCCAGATCCCCAGTGGTGGGGGGCATGCAGGAGGCGGCCAATCATGTTCTCTCTCATCTATGTTTCTATCTCTCCCTCTCCATTCCTCTCTCTCTTTAAAATCAATATAGGAAAAAAAAAAAAAAGTTTTTAAAATTGTTTTAGTGAAGGCATTAGGGTCCCGGGCTGAGCCCTGACCAGACATCACAAATTAGGGTGGGCATTTAGGAGGGCCTACCTCCTTACCGAGATCTGAAAGTGAACCAGTGCAGGGAGACAGACGCATTAACAAAGATGTACTCAGCTGTGTTAGATGTAGTCGCTTCTATCAGATAAGAAAATGGCGCGCACAAGCAGAAATGAACCTTCAAGTACAGGTGCTGATAATAATCCCATTTGTCCCACAGACTGTTCCAACAGTAGCTCCTTCTGAAGACCTTTCCTATTCAATCAGCCAACCCTAAAGTAAACAGTTTCCCTGTGAAAGTTTGTCCCTTGCCTCTCCTATCAGGCTGATGCCATCTGTTATTTGTGTATGTGTGTAATCACCTCTCTTTGTTTTTTTTAATTTTTTATTTAAATGTTTATTTTTATTACAGATGTTTCTCCTTTTTCCCCCATTGACACCCTCCTCCCAATCCCCCTCCCCCCAGCATTATTGTCCTTGTTTAGGCATACTTGCATATAAGTTCTGTAATCACCTCTGTTTGGATAAATTCTTTCTTTTCTTTTCTTTTTTTTTAGATAGAGTGGGAAGGAGGGAGAGAGGAAGAGAGAAAGAGAGAAACATCAACGTGAAAGGGACACATCGAGTGGCTGCCTCCTGCACGACCCAACCTGGGCCAGGGACAAACTGCAACCTAGGTATGTGCCCTTAGTGGAACCGAACCTGGGTCTCTCTGGACTGCAGGCCGACGCTCTAACTGCTGAGCCAAACTGGCCAGGGTTAAATCCTTTTTTTTTGTTTTTTTTTTTTAATTTTACCTTCTTAGGGCTTTTTTTTTTTGCATTTATCTTCAGATAGAGCCGGAGAGAGAGAGGGAGGAAGAGAGAGAGAGAAACATCAACGTGAGAGAGACGCATCGAGTGGTTGCCACCCATACAACCCCAACTGGGGCTGGGGCAAACTGCAACTGAGGTACATGCCCTTAGCGGGAACCGAACCCGGGACTCTCCGGTCCACAGGCCTATACTCTAACTACTGAGCCAAACCGGCCAGGGCAGGGCTTTTTTTTCTTTCTTTCCTTTTTTTTTTTTTCTTTTTTTTTTTTATCCTCACCCGAGGACATTTTCCCATTTTTTTGTTCAGGTAGAGTGGGAGGGAGAGAGAGGAACAGAGAGAGAGAGAGAAACATCGATGTGAAAGGAACACATTGAGTGGCTGCCACCCGCACGACTGACCAGGGCCGGGGACAAACTGCAACCGAGGTACGCGCCCTTAGCGGGAACCGAACCCGGGTCTCTCAGGACCACAGGCCGACGCTCTAACCGCTGAGCCAAACCGGCTAGGGCAGGGCTTTTTTTTTTTTCATCCTCACCTGAGGACATTGTTCAGATAGAGTGGGAGGGAGAGAGAGGAAGAGAGAGAGAGAAACATAGATGTGAAAGGTACACATCGAGTGGCTGCCACCTGCACGACCAACCAGGGCCAGGGACAAACTGCAACTGAGGTACCCCTAGCGGGAACTGAACCCAGGTCTCTCTGGACCACAGGCCGACACTCTAACTGCTGAGCCAAACCAGCCAGGGCTAAATCCTTTTTTTTTAAATTGATTTTTAGAGAGAGGAAGGGAGAGGGAGAGAAACGTCGATGAGAGAGAACATCCATTGGCCGCCTCCTGCATGGCCCCCAATGGGGATTGGGCCCACAATCTGGGCATGTGCCCTGCTGGGGAATCAAACTGGTGACCTCTTGGTACATGGGTCGATGCTCAACCACTGAGCCACACTGGCCGGGCCTCCTTCTTCTTTTTTTTTTTTTTTGGCATTTATCTTCAGATAGAGCGGGAGGGAGAAAGGGAGGAAGAGAGAGAGAGAGAAACATCGATGTGAGAGAGACACATCAACTGGTTGCCGCCCATGTAACCACATCCGGGGCCGGGGACAAACTGCAACTGAGGTACGTACCCTTAGAGGGTCTCTCTGGTCCGCGGGCTGACACTCTAACTGCTGAGCCAAACTGGTCAGGGCTGCTGCTTTTTTTTTTAACATTGACGGGGGTGGGGGTGGAGACACTGATTTATTGTTCCACTTATTTATGTTTTCAATGGTTGATTCTTGTATGTGCCCTGATGGGGATCAGACCCACAACCTGGGTATATGAGGTGATGCTCTAACTGAATAACCTGGACAGGGAGGCTATGTTTCTGGCCAGGGAAGTTATATTTCTTGTGTATTTTTATTTTTGTTTCTTTTTAGGTAATAGACATGCCTATAGCTAGATGGTGAGCTCTTTGAAAGCAAGGCATAGATATCCTGACTTTCTCATTTTCTGGGAGGCAACTTTATATTTTACTACTTAGTAAATGCTTGTTAATATTAATAAGAAGCCCTGGCCAGTGTGGCGCAATGGTTAGAGCGTCGGCTCATGAACCGAAGGTCACAGGTTTGATTCTCGATCCTGGGCATGTACCTGAGTTGCAGGTTCAGTCCCTGGATCGGGACACATGTGGGAGGGAACCAATCGATGTGTCTCTTTCACATCCATGTTTCTCTTTCTCTTCCTCTCCATGCCTCCCCTCCTCTCCCTTTCCCTCCCTCCCTCCCTCCCTTCCAATCTCTATAAAAATCAATGGAAAAAATATCCTCGGGTGAGGATGTGTGTGTGTGTGTGTGTGTGTGTATGAAGTAAATAAGGTATATGTTGATAACAAGTAGGCCAAGAGAATAAAAATCAACAAAGCAGTGTTCAGGAAACATTGATATGACTAATGCAAAGATAGATCACAAAGAAAATGCGTGTCAGAGCTTAATGTCCTCACCTTTCTCCCAGTAGTGTTCAGAGTTGATAAGGAAGGTGGTGGAAATTTGTTGAGGCAGCTTCAGAAATTCCTTTCCATTTTCCCTAGGCCCTCTGAAGCAGATAAATCACTCTCATAGCATTTAAATCTTCATCAAACTTATATTCCACCAACAGAGTTTATAGAGTCAGAAATGCCAGGAGCAAGCTTGGAGGTCCTCTTTTTTTTTTTTTTTCTGTGTTGATTTTTAGAGAGGAAGGAAGAGGGAGAGAGAGACAGAAGACATGATTGAGAGAAACATGAGAGAGAACATTGATTGGTCGCCTTCTACATGCCTCTCACTGGGTATTTGGCCCACAACCTGGGTATGTGCCCTGACTGGGAATTGTACCAGTGATCTCTTGGTGCATGGGTCGACACTCAGCCACTGAGCCACATGGGCTGGGCCGGAGGCCCTTTTTTTTGGCATTTAGGGTCCTGAATCATACACCTGGCTGAATTTAGCCTAACAGGAGCTGCCTATACGAGGTGTGGTTCACAGTAGAAGCAGGCAGAGAACGGAAGGCTTAAATATGCCTTTCTAGTTAATTTTCTTCAAACAAGACAAAAACAGTTGCAGATGCTCCCTCTCCCAGCTCCATCCGCAGTTGCCCCTGTTCAGCATCAGCAAGGTATGAAGCAGTGGCTCTCGAGAGACAACCAGTGGTGATGAGCGTCCTGCCCCCGGCACTCCTTCCCACTCCTCTACATTGCAGCATGGGTTTATTTATGTCTGTACACTTTAGAATTACTCCAGCTTCCCTATTTACTATGTAAATTTGGGTAGTAACTTGCATAACTATTCTATGCCTCAGTTTTCTCATCTATAATATGGGAATACTAATTGTATCTACTTCATAGTGTTACCATGACAATTGAAGAAGAGTGCAGAACACTTAGAGCAGTGCTGAGCACACCATGAGCAGCCATTAGTTGCTGTCATTGCAAAAGTAAAGCATGCTTGCCCTGGCCGGTTTGGTTCAGCGGTTAGAGCGTCGGCCTGCGGTCCTGAGAGACCCGGGTTTGGTTCCCGCTAAGGGCATGTACCTCGGTTGCAGTTTGTCCCCGGCCCTGGTTGGTTGTGCGGGTGGCAGCCACTCGATGTGTTCCTTTCACATCGATGTTTCTCTCTCTCTCTCTCTGATCCTCTCTCTCCCTCCCACTCTACCTGAACAAAAAATGGAAAAATGTCCTCGGGTGAGGATAAAAAAAAAAAAAAAAGGTAAAGCATGCTTATTTCAACAACTTCATTGATACAGAGATAGTCAAGAAAAAGTTCATATTTCCCCTCTGCCTCTACCCCTTCTTTGCTCTTACTTATCTAAGAAAACTATTAATAAACATCTTTTCTCTCTCATACCAATATACTGCAAATCGACCTATATATGTAGTTTCTTCTTTGATTTTTATAGAAATGGATTCACATTCACTTCATTTTATCAGTTAAAAATATATAATGGAGCCCTGGCCAGTTTGGCTCAGCAGTTGGAGCGTCGGCTTATGGACCAGAGTCCCAGGTTCAGTTCCCACTAGTGGCATGTACCCCCTCCCCCCAAAATATATATATGAGATCATTGTATATATAACTCATTCTTGTTAACAGCATTAGTATGTACATACCATAATATATTTAAATGTTCCACCAAATAGACAATTGGGTTATTTCTAATTTTCGCCAATGGAAAGAACGGCACAGTACACAATCCTTGTTCCTATGTCTTGATGCTTTCAGTCTGTGTAACAGATTCTCTGAAGTTGGACAGCTAGATCAAAGATTTCTGGTTGCAGTGGATGGATTGCATAACCTAATATCTAAAGAAGGTGCCTCTTCCCTTATAGATCCCTTCAGCTCCCCTGTAGCTCAAGCTTTGCTGGTTGGTAACTGAATTTTTTCCATATGCTTCGTGTGTGTCTACATAGCCAGAAAAGCACTGATTGTACTGGCTCATGCTGAGAGGACATCCTTCAACTATGCCATGAAGGAGGCTGCTGTAGAGGCTTTGAAGGGGAAAGGATGGGAAGTCACTGTGTCAGACCTGTATGCCATGAACTTCAATCCTGTCATCTCCAGAAAGGACATAACAGGTAGGAGCAACTCCCGCCTTGAATTAGGTCTTTGTGGAACTTCTTGCCTGTGGGTTCCCTGGTTTGGCCTTGGCCCCATGGCCTCAGCTTCTCTTTTTCTTCTCTGCAGGTAAACTGAAGGACCCCGAGAACTTTCAGTATCCTGTCGAGTCTGTTCTAGCTTATAAAGAAGGCCGTCTGAGTCCAGATATAGTGGCTGAACAAAAGAAGCTGGAAGCTGCTGACCTTGTGATTTTTCAGGTATGGAAGGACATCAGAAGTGGTGTCAGGACACTTGAATTCTTTTCTTTTTAGAATTCCCACCTGAGGATATGTCTTTATTTTTTTATACATTTATTTATTATTATTATTATTTTTTATCCTCATCCAAGGACATTTTTCCAATTTTTGTTCAGATAGAGCGGGAGGGAGAGAGAGAGAAAAAAACATCGATGTGAAAGGGACACATCGAGTAGCTGCCACCCACACGACCTAACCAGGGCCAGGGACAAACTGCAACTGAGGTACGTGCCCTTAGCGGGAACCGAACCTGGGTCTCTCTGGACCGCAGGCTGAGGCTCTAACCGCTGAGCCAAACTGGCCAGGGTGGATATGTCTTTATTAATTTGAGAGAGAGGAAGGGAAAGGGAGAGAGAGAAACATCAATGTGGACATCAACTGGTTGCCTCCCGTACATGCCCTGACCGAGTTTGAACCTGCAACCCTTTGGTGCGCAGGACGACTCTCCAACCAACTGAGCCACACGGGCCAGGCTGGGACACTTGAATTCTTATTGTCCTAGACCTGCCACCTAATTAGCCATGTGATCTTAGAAAAATCACTTACCCTTGTTACTGCATTCTCTGTAAAGAAAGGTGATTATGCCCTGGCTGGTTTGGCTCAGTGGTTAGAGCATTGGCCTGCGGTCTAGAGAGACCCGGGTTCGGTTCCCGCTAAGGGCATGTACCTCAGTTGCAGTTTGTCCTTGGCCCTGGTTGGTCGTGCGGGTGGCAGCCACTTGATGTGTCCCTTTCATGTCGATGTTTTTTTCTCTCTCTCTTTGCCTCTCTCTCCGTCCCACTCTACCTGAATAAAAAATGGAAAAATGTCCTCTGGTGAGGATTTAAAAAAAAAAGAAAGGTGATTACTTCAAATGTGCAACGTTACACAGATTTATAGATAGTATATTACTCTGAAAATACGAATGCAACTTCAAAGATGAAATGCCAATCTTTTTTTCAATTAGTGATTTTTTTAATTTAGATTTTTCAATTACAGTTGATTCAATATTATATTAGTTTCAAGTATATAGCGTAGTGGTCAGACATATTTATATAACTTATGAAGTGATTCCTCTCATAAGTCTAATACCCACGAGGCACCATACATAGTTATTACAATATTATTGACTATGTTCACTGTGCTGTACTTACATCCCCATGACTGTTTTGTAACTGCCAATTGGCACTTCCTAACCCCTTCACCTTTTCCACCCAGCTCCCAACCTCCCTCTCCTCCGGCAACCATCAGTCTGTTCTTTGTAACTATGAGTCTGTTTCTATTTTATTTTTTTCACTTATTTTGTTCTTTAAATTCCACATATAAGTGAAATCATATGGTATTTGTCTTTCTCTGTCTGACTTATTTCACTTAGCATCATACTCTCCAGGTCAATCCATGTTGTTGCAAATGGTAAGATTTTATTACTTTTTATGGCCAAGTAATATTTCATTGTATATATATACACCATATCTTCTTTATCCATTGTTTGTTGATGGACACTTGGGTTCCTTTCATATCCTGGCTATTGTAAATAATGCTACAATGAACCAATCAGTGATTCCTCAGGGAAGTCACAGCGAAGTCTGCACTTCTCCCCTCCTCTCTGTAAGCGTCCTGACTAGTTTGTGGAGAGATTCAGACCTCTCTGATGTTGGAGCTTCCCAGCTGCTATGCATTGTCCTGCTTACTATGTTTTAGCAGCAAACCATGGCCTTTTCTCTAGAACAGCTGTTCTCAACCTGTGGGTCGTGACCCCATTGGGGGTCGAACAACCCTTTCACAGGAGTCACCTAAGACCATCGGAAAACACATATTTCTGATGGTCTTAGGAACCGAGACATCGCTCCTCTATCGTCTCCAGGCAGGTCCGCCCACATGCAGATACACCCACATACGACATGAGGAACTGTATTCAAGGGTCGCGGCATTAGGAAGGTTGAGAACCACTGCTCCAGAAGCTGCCTCACCATTTAGCAGTCAGTACTGGAAATGCGTATGCTTCTTGTCAGTCATCTTGTTTTGAAAATGCCAGACCATACTCAATAACTCTGCCTCTACCAATTCCAACTAACTTCTTGATCTTGAACATGGGACGGATATGACATTGGAAATGTCACAAGAAGGGTGATACTGCTGTAGTTTTTGCAATTATTCAGTCATATACAAAGAATCCAACCTTTGAAGTTTTATTCTACCCCAGTCTTGTGGCTATGAATCAAAGCCACACACCGTTAACCACAAAGGATGCCTTCTTGGTCTAGTTTGTCTACTGTATCTTATCCAAGGCAGCAGCAGTAGCAGCTTTCAATTCTGCATCTCAGAATTACCATATTTTAGAATTGGAAAGAATTTTGGTGGTCTTTTAATTTAACTTCTATCCAGTGCATATATTTTCTTTACTCAGTACAACTGTGCAGGTTGTCACAGCAAACTAGCAACATTTGTGTATTTATTATAATAGTTTCCTGACAGATGACAGGGAAAATCTAATTCTAGAAAAGTTAGTGTACTTTGTTCTATTTTTTTGGTACATGCCCCTAGTGGGAACCAAACCCAGGACTCTCTGGTCCCCAGGCTGACGCTCCAACCGCTGAGCCAAACCAGCCAGGGCAAGTCAGTATACTTTGTATAATAGCCTTTCAACATGGAAGCAGGACAAAAGGCCCAACAAGAATTTATGATGGGCCCAGCAAGTGTGGCCCAGTGGATTGAGCATTGGTCCATGGACTGGAGGTCCTGGTTTGATTCCCAGTCAGCACACATGCCCGGGTTGCGGGCTCGATCCCCATTGAGGGGCGTGCGGCAGGCAGCTGATAGATGTTTCTCTCTCACATTGATGTTTCTATCTTTCCCTCCCTTCCTCTCTCTCTAAAAAAAATCAATTAAGACACATTTTTAAAAAAAAAGAATTTCTGATGGGAATTCCCCGATAAATTTTAGTCACACTGATCATTTATTTACAAATTTGAGTAGTTGTGTTTATTCTAACCAATAGGATTTTACATCTGTGAGCACAAGGTACATACTTCATATATCTGATACCATACCTACTTTAAAGCAAGCTCTTGAGAAAATACTGATTTAGGCATCACACATTTGTCTGTAGTCCTTGCTGTCTAAACTTTTTTTTCTTTATTGTTGAAAAAATTACAGTTGTCCCTCCTTTTTCCCCCACCGACATCCTTTTCCTCATCTCCCACCCCCCACCACTTGCTGTCTAAACTTCGCTGTCAAATGTGATTTCACAGAAACAAATCTTATATGCATGTGGTCTTCTTCAGACCTACCCAATATCTGTACTTAAAAGTAGAAACAGGAGTGTCGGGTTGACTGATGAAAAATACTTTTTTATTTTTTTTTAAACTTTTTTCTTGATTGATTTTAGAGAGAGAGAGAGAGGGAGAGAGAGAAACATCGATGAGAGAACATCAATTGGCTGCCTCCTGTATGCCCCCAACGAGGGACTTGGCCCACAACCTGACCGGGAATCGAACGAACCTGTGACCTCTTGGTGCATGGATCGATGCTCAACCACTGAGCCACACCTACCAGGCGATGATACTTGTCTTTAAATTGTACTATCTCCTCCAGAAGGAATGACACAGGCCTGAAGCAAGATCCGCCCTCAGTGAGGAACCTTGGTTGCAGTTTGTCCCCGGCCAGGGTCATGTGGGTGGCAACCACTCGATGTGTCTCTCTCACATAGATATTTCTCTCTCTCCTGCTCTATCTGAAGATAAATGTAAAAGTGTCCTTCTGTGCTGGGAGTGTCCCTGATCTGACCTCTTTGTTGTTTGTTCCACAGTTCCCACTGCAGTGGTTTGGAGTCCCTGCCATCCTGAAAGGCTGGTTTGAGCGAGTGCTCATTGGGGAGTTTGCTTATACGTACGCTGCCATGTATGACAAGGGACCTTTCCGGGTAGGTGGATGATTCTGCTTTTTCTAACAGCTGGATGCTGGGGAGATTTGCTCCTCAGGCAGAGTTTTGAGCACAATTAGATACTAAGATCAGGCTTCCAGTCCCTTTGGAAGAGGTACATAATTAAGTTTTAATAGATCTTTTTGACATGCTGTTTAGGATTTGTTTTAAAATACCCCTGGGAACCCTAGCCGGTTTTGCTCAGTGGTTAGAGTGTCAGCCCAGGGACCAGAGAGTCCCGGGTTCGGTTCCTGCAAAGGGCACATACCTTGGTTGCAGTTTGTCCCCGGCCAGGGTCATGTGGGTGGCAACCACTCGATGTGTCTCTCTCACATAGATATTTCTCTCTCTCCTGCTCTATCTGAAGATAAATGTAAAAGTATCCTTGGATGAGGATTTAAAAAAAAAAAAATTTAAAATACCCCAGGGTAAAAAGAGGCAAGAGGATTGATTAGATAAAACTAGAATGCAAACTACTGAGAGTTGAAGCTGGGTGGATCATCATTATACAGTTGACCCTTGAACTGCATGGGTCCTCTTTATATGTGGGGTGCTTCCCCCCCAATAACTACTGTAAATGTATTTTCTCTTCCTTGTTTTCTTAATAACATTTTCTTTTCTCTAGTTCATTTTATTGTAGGAATATAGTATATAATACATATAACATACAAAATATGTGTTAATCAACTGTTTACATTATTGGTAAGTCTTCGGTCAAAAGTAGGCTATTTGTAAAGTTTTTGGGCAGTCAAAATTAGTTATGTGGCATTTTGACTGTGTGTGGGGTGGCACCCCTAACCCCTGCATTGTTCAAGGGTCAAATGTGGTATTTTCTTTTTTTTTAAATTTTCCATAATAAAAATAAATAGTCTGTCTTCATTTTTCAGAGACCCAAATACTATACAAGAAACATTTGAAGCCTTCTAGATTGCATACTTAGATACATGCCTAGCACTATGGGGAGACAGAATAAAACAAACAAGTAACTCCTCTTAGGCACCTGCAGTAAACAATGATTTTGCATTTCCATAACAACTTTCCAGGGATTTGCCACACGCAAGAGTATAGAATACTTAGCTTGCCCCTGCTCACCTGTCTGTGCTACCATCTTCCAGGCTGGTACTTCTGCAGAATCACACTGTGTGGCTCAGAGGAGCCAGCAGATGAAGTAACATCAACAGTACCTGAGTGTTCATGTGTGTTCTTTCCCCTGAGGCTGTTTTATTCATTTCCTGTCACCAAGGAGATGTTCAGGGTGATGACTTTTTAAAAAATATTTTTTTACAGAAGAAGAAGACAGTGTTGTCCATCACCACTGGTGGCAGCGGCTCTATGTACTCTCTGCAGGGTGTCCACGGGGACATGAATATCATTCTCTGGCCAATTCAGGTACCTCATTTTCAGTGAACCTTAAGGGGGATTAATTAATTGAGCTTTCTATGGAGTCCAAATCCTCAAAATAACAACTGAAAACAGACCTGAGGTGAAAGCATAGTGATTCAGAACTACAGGGAGCTTCAAGACTTACCTCTTCCCAGGCCCCTGTGCGTAAATAACCCGTGTGTGCACATGACCACACACCACTCCCCGAGGACTAGTTCAGATAAGCCCTAGTTTTGTACAGCCTCATGGTCTAATTCTCTCCAGATGAATGACCTCTCTCTCCAATCTTCCTGTCCTTCTCCAAGTTGCTGCTACAATCTCACAGACTATTAGAGCCTCTCCCACCCCAAATTTAAGAAATGCTTTAGTTCAGCGAATAAAACTTAGGTCTGACGTATGTTTTTTGGTTGTCACTGGACTCTGACAATAATCTCTTCTAAGGAAGAGGGATGGAGAGAAGAGCAAATGAGGTGGCCACTTATAATATTGGAGAATTAATATTATTATTGGAGAATAAATGATAAGCACCATTTGTTAAGACACATCTAGTTCTATGGAGAGGCAGGGAAAAGCAGGCAAGACTTGGCTGCTAAGCAGCTGCAACTCTCCCTTATGGAACAGAACTTCTGGCAGAGGATCCCAGGCTGGCACAGTTTCAAGGTTTTATTCATATAAAAAGCACAGCTGAGTAGGCTAAAATAGGTAATAGCTAGGTATGGAGAGCAGAAGGTGAGAGAATACAGCTCTGAACTGATTCTCAAGGGTGCCTCAAGGCTCCATGTCAGAGTATCTTATTGGAAAGCCCAGATTAACCTTTGTGGTTTGTATATGGTACAAGCTGTTTGTACATGACTCTTCTTTGTGCTTTGTGTATCCCCAGAGTGGCACTCTGCATTTCTGTGGCTTCCAGGTCTTAGAACCTCAACTGACATATAGCATTGGGCACATTCCTGCGGATGCCCGACTTCAGATCCTGGAAGGATGGAAGAAACGCCTGGAGGATATTTGGGATGAGACTCCACTATATTTTGCTCCAAGTAGTTTCTTTGACCTAAACTTCCAGGCAGGATTCTTAATGAAAAAGGAAATCCAGGAAGAGCAAAAAAACAAGAAGTTTGGCCTCTCTGTGGGCCATCACTTGGGCAAATCCATCCCAACTGACAACCAGGTCAAAGCCAGAGAATAAGATTCACAAGATTTGATTTCCTTCTAAAATGTAGCCAAATCCAGGTTTCTTTTCCAGGCTTCCTTTAGATTAGTTTTTCTTTTTCCATGAGGAATTAATGGGAAAGAGAATAGACTATTCATACATTTTAGATAGTTTTAATAAACATAAGTAATTCTTACAATTGCTATCATGGCAAAATCTGATTAGGCTCAAGAGGCCACTTAAAATATAAAGCAAGGAAAGGTATAGAAAGAGGCTAGTCAATATTCTTTAAGGCTCTGTACACAATTTAATCCCTATTTTAGGGATAAATTTTTAGGGCTAAATCTCACTAGAAAGCATCCAACTCTTCAATGATCTATTTTTCTTTTAATTACCTCTGTGGTATACAGCAAAATGGAATTGCTCAGAGAAAGCAATGACTGAATCTGTCAGACCTAAGGGAGTTGTTGAGTAGTTAATCGATGCCTGTTTGTGATATACATTGGGTTTAACTACTGCATAGTGACTGATACACCTAATATGAGTGTTACTCTTCCTTTAACTTCTCTTGTTTGCATACAAATACCTTGAAATGAAAAGCTAATAAAAGTCTCCTTTACTTTAATCTTCTAATTTAATGTCTGCAGAAATAAAACAACACATCTATATACTACAATTTGCTACAATGAAAGAATTCAAGACAGGAAATAATACCCCAATTCTTTTTTTTAGTCAAAGGAATCTTTTTTATTAAAAAAAAATTTTTTTTATCCTCACCCAAGGACATTTTTCCATTTTTTGTTCAGAAAGAGTGGGAGGGGGAGAGAGAGAGAAAAACATCGACATGAAAGAGACACATCGAGTGGTTGCCACCCGTACAACCCAACCAGGGCCGGGGACAAACTGCAACCGAGGTACATGCCCTTAGCGGGAACCGAATCTGGGTCTCTCTGGACCACAAGCTGACGCTCTAACCACTGAGCCAAACCAGCCAGGGCTGCTAAGAAAAACAAAAACAAAAAACAAACTTTATTGTTGAAAGAATTACAGATGTTCCCTTCTTTCCTCCCCATTGACCCCCCCTCCTCCCCACTCCCACCCCCCTCCTGCTTTCCCCATACTATTGTCTGTGTCCATTGGTTATGCGTATATGTTGGGTTTATCTCTTCCCAACCCCTCTACCCCTTCCCTCTGAGGTTTGTCAGTCTGTTCCCTACTTCCATGTCTCTGGATTTATTTTGATCAACAGGTTATTTTGTTCATGATATTCCATGAATAAGTGAGATCATGTCTTTCTCTGACTGGATTATTTCACTCAGCATAATACTCTCCAGCCCCCTCCATGTCATCTCATAGGGTGAGAGATCTTTCTTACAGCTGCATAATATTCCATTGTGTAAAAGTACCACAGCTTTTTTATCCACTCATCTACTGATGGACACCTGGGTTGTTTCCAGATCTTAGCTACTGTAACTAGCGCTGCTATGAACATAGGGGTGCATATATTCTTTCTGATGGGTGTTTCAGGCTTCATAGGATATATTACTAGAAGTGGAATCAGTGGGTCAAATGGCAATTCCATTTTAAATTTTTTGAGGAAACACCTCACTGTTTTCTATAGTGGCTGCAAGTACTCCAATTCCACAAATACTGCTTTATTTCTGATCTATATACAGTAACCATCTGGAAAGGTTTGTCCTGTGTCATTGCTAAACTGATGACTTTCCTTTTAAGGATGTATTTTGGTCCCATGACTTTTGGGATAAAATTGTAAGCCTACAGTTTCATTTACTTTGGTGAACAATTCTGGCACAATATTCTAATTTCACATTGAAATTAAGTGCAACTCCATATAATTGGAGTAATTCAAGTAGAATATGACGAAAGACTGCCCTCTTGTGGTGCACTGGAAGAAAACAACAAATGATGCAAAGCAAGGTTGCCTGAACTGGGAGTAAGTAGCTTCATACCTGCCAAGGAAATGATGGCATCAGGCTGGAGAACCTCAGTTGCCAGATGCCTACAGTCACTGGGTATTTTTTCCTTTTACAATACCCACAATGACAAATGGCTTGCTTGGTGCTTCAGTTTAAAAATGTTTTCTTTTGCCTTTATCCTCACTGCAATTTTGTGTAAGTTTTAAAAGTTCCAAATGAAATCAACTCCATTTCTGCAAAACAAACCAACACTCTTTGGTTTCAGTGAAGTCAGAGACAGAGCATTCATGCAAAAGTGGAACCTACTGGGGAAGGTGGGGTGAGTAGATTTAGTAATAAATCATGGCCAGTGCCGATACAGTGACTTGGCTTGGGAGTCTGCCCATTAGGGCTGCTTCATACCGAATGATAACGGAATAGATTAAGATCCTTTCAGGGAATTTAAAGGACTTTTAAAGAGAACGGTGTAGAAATCAAGACAAAAAATGCAGTAAATAAATAGATGCCAAGGGGCAGTAGTTATTCTGATTTGCCTGATTTAGATTTATCCAATCAGTGGACTTGGCACTCCTCTAGATATTGGAAATGCAGCAAAGTGCCTACCCTCATGGAGTTTGCATTCTAGTGAAGAATGAGATGAACAAATATGTCAAGTGGTGATAAATGCTAGAAAGAAAAAGCAGAGGAGGGTTAGTGATAGGATACAAGAGTCTTGTTTTAGCCCTGGCTGGTTTGGCTCAGGGATTGGACCAGAGAGGCCGGGGTTCGGTTCACACTAAGGGCACATACCTTGGTTGTGATTTGTCCCCAGCCCCAGTTGGGGTCATGTGGGTGGCGACCAGTCGATGTGTCTCTCTCACGTCAATATTTCTCTCTCCCTTCCTCCCTCTCTCCCTCCCGCTATATCTCAAGATAAATGCAAAAATATCTTCAGGTGAGGATAAAAAAAAAGTCTTGTTTTATACAAGGTAATCAAGAAAGACCTCTCCAATGAGGCTCCATTTGAGCAAAGACCCAATAAAGTGAGAGAGTGAGATGTGGATATCTCAAGGAAGAGCACTCCAGGCAGGAGTGATGTGTGGGTGCAAACCCTGAAGCAGGAACATGCTTTGTCTGAGGGTGAGAAAGGAAGTTACTAAAGCAGAGAAAGGAAGAGAAGGCTGAGTCAGACACATAGCCTCGATCAGATCACATAGGGCCTTATGAGCACTATAAGAATGGAAAGATAGGAAGTCACTGGAGGGTTTTGGGCAGAGGTGCAACATAATCTGATTTATGTTTAATTCTGGCTGGTATGTGAGGAATCAAGTATAAGGGCAATGATGGAAGCAGGGAAATGGGGAAGCTGTTGTTACAATCTAAATATGTTTTGGGACCAAGGTAACAGCAATAAATGTATTGAGAAGTGGTTGGATTCTGTATATATTTCAAAGATGGGAGTAACAGGATATAATGATGGATTGAATCTAGGTTAGATTAAAAAAAAAAACACTTTAATGGTATTTTGACCTAAGTATTTGGAAGAATGGATATTCCATCTAAGTTGAGGAAGAATCTGGAAAGAGTATCAGGGGCAGGAGTCAGGGGTGGGAAGAGTGGAATCAAAATCTGACTTCAGACAGTTTATGTTTGACATCTATTAAGACAGCCAAGTGAGCCCGGCCAGTGTGGCTCAGTGGATTGAGCGTTATCCCATGGATTGAGAGGTCCCAGTTTGATTCTTGGTCAGGGCACATGCCCAGGTTACAGGCTCCATCCCCAGTAGGGGGTGTGCAGGAGGCAACCAATTAATGTTTTTCTCTCACATTGATGTTTCTCTCTCTCTAAAAAAATAAATAAAAATATATTTTAAAAAAAGGCCCTGGCCAGTTTGGCTCAGCAGTTAAGAGTGTTGATTCTGGTTAAGGGCACATACCTCAGTTGCGGTTGGGTCCCTGGCCCTGGTCAGGACTGCACGGGAAGCAACACCAGTTAATGTATCTCTTTCGCATTGATGTTTCTCTTTCTTGCTCCCCTCCCATTCTGTCTGAAAATAAATGAAAAAGTATCTTCTGGTAAGGATTTAAAAAACAAAACAAAAACCAAAAGACAGCCAAGTGAAGCTGTCAAGTAGCAGTTGGACAACAGGAATCTAGAGTTAAGGGGAAAATTACGGCTAAGGATACATATTTGGGCATCTTCAACATATAGGTAATATATAAAGCAGTGAGACTGGATGAGGTCACCTAGGGCTCTCAAATGTTAGGAGGTCAAGAAGATGAGAATGAAAAGGAGTGGCCAGTGAAGGAGAAAAAGTATGGTGTCCTGAAAGCCAAGTGAAGAAAGTGTTTCAAGGAGGGAGTGATCAGGTGTGTCAAATATTGCTGCTAAGCCAAGTAAGAGAGGCTTGAGAATTGACCTTTGGATATGGTCATTTGGAGGCCACTGGTTTTGATAAGACTGGAAGGAAAGTGGAAACTGTGTAGGCAGATGTGTGGTCAAAGGAATTATTTATTTGATTTTTTTAAGAGATAAGGGACATTTATGTGCCAGTAGGAATGACTGATAGAAAAAGTTTTATGTTGGAGAAAGGATAATTAAAGGAACATGTCTCTGAAAAAGCAAAAGTACACAAGAGACAGCAGAGTAACAACAGAACTAGTAATACTAATGCAAAGTAACACTTATTAGGCATTTATGTGTGCTAGGAACTAAGTAATTTTACATGGATTAATTTACTCTGAAGAGGAGGGTCCTATTTTTGTTTCCTCTTTATAGATAAGAAATTGAGGAATGGAGAGGTTAAATAGTAGGTATAGCCAAAACTCCACCCCGCAAAGCAAGTATGGCACCATGAAATACAGCATAAGAGTAGCAATCAAGCCCTGGCCGGTTTGGCTCAGCGGATAGAGCGTCGACCTGCGGTCCTGAGAGACCCGGATTCGGTTCCTGCTAAGGGCATGTACCTCGGTTGCAGTTTGTCCCCGGCCCTGGTCGGTTGTGCGGGTGGCAGCCACTCGATGTGTTCCTTTCACGTCGATGTTTCTCTCTCTCTCTCTGTTCCTCTCTCTCCCTCCCACTCTACCTGAACAAAAAATGGAAAAATGTCCTCGGGTGAGGATTAAAAAAAAAAAAAAAAAAAAAAAAAAGAGTAGCAATCAATACCTCTTTCTGAGAACAAGACCATTAAGTGTCGCTGTTGAGAAACTGTAGCTGCTTTTATACTTCCAGAGTTC